TTTGGAGGATGCAATATATGTTATTGTTCAGAAAGGCATTATTGCAGAGTTTAGAAACTAAAAAAAAAATATGGTATAGGGAGCATAAAGATGTGTAGTGAATTATCTCACCTTTCCTTTTCATATCTATCACCTCTCAGTGATTCCTGTGACTATCTTTCCTAATTCTAAATATCATCATTAACTACCTTAAATATTGCTTTCTTCATTTAACTCTTTTTCCTATAAACTTTTCATGGATCCTGACCTCAGGTGAATTCTAAGATTCTGTCCAGTGCATGGATTTTAATTTATGGTAGGCCTGTCCTTCTAGGCCTCTCATGGTGTCCCATGCCAGAGTAAACCATGACCCAAACCATTTCCTGGCCTCTGTGTTCATAGGCTGCTGGCTAAAGTGGGTCAGACAATAGGAAAATAAAATAAATTAAATGCTGCTCAGAAATCTTCACATGCCCTTTGTCAGCTTCCTGGCCCAAAGTTCTCCACTTTTCCCCCAAACTTCCAATTATAGATGTTCACAGTCTTCCAGCAGCTATCCCCTTTTTTTCCCCTTGCAGTGCTGGAATTAAAAAAAAAAAAAAGTATCCATGACTGAGTCTAACTTAACATTTTTTAAACTCTCCTTTTCCTTCACAAACTGTTTTGTCTCCTTATGTCCCTGGTCACTGATAATACAACCTAGGAACGCAGGAAAGATTCTCAAGTTGTTCCTTTCCTTCCCCCACTTGCCCTTTTAGTTTGTCTCTTACCTTCAGTCCCTACTGCCTTAGGTCAGGTCACCCCTATATCTCATGTTCTTTCTTGCTATTGTCTTCCCTATCTCAGCCTGAGCCAGGGGCTCCCCATGTTTTCCCAGGGTCTTGCTTACCTTGATGACAGCACTCGTCACATTGTAAGGTGTTGATGACTATTACTGGTTTACTTCTCTCCATCTAGAACCTGGGCTCCTTGTTGGCAAGGGCTGTCTTGCTTATCTTTGTGACCTCTGCCTTTATTACAGTATTTGGCACTGAATCAGTAATCTAATGAATTAGTGACAGACCTACAGTATTACCTTCCCCTGGGTCCACTGTTTCCAGGAGATAAGCTCTGATTCAGTCCAGTGCACCCTTGAGCAGGACAAATACACACTCATGGAAGACCTGTAAGGCCTTCTCTCCTCTTTACAAATCAAAACCCTACTAGTCCTAATCCAAGTCAAAGCTTATCTCCTCCATGAAATATTTGAGTTTTCTAACCCTCATTAATCTCTTTCTCTCTGAACTTTTAATGTATTTCATGCACAGCATTGCTGAGGTTACTTCTGTATTGTTCATTACATGGTTCATATTTTTTTAAATGTCTCCCTAATACAATGTTAAGCTGCTTGTAGTTAGGCAAACTATGCCTAATACTTCCTTTATGAACCTTTGAAATATCTTCTGCTAAATATAGGCCCAACCAGACTTACTGACCTCTGCTTCTTCTTGCCCATCATCTTGTCTGTCTTCCTTTTCTTGATATGCAGCATCCGCATGCCCCTTACCTGCTTCATAGGCTCCCACACCCCCCTGACGTTCTCTTCTTTCCTCCATCTTCCAAGCTACCTACCAGCCCCTGTTTTTTTCTCTGTCCACCTGTTACTAGCCCGAAGTTCCTGGGCCACTCAGTGCTCCCTCTAATCTGCTGCTGCATCCTGGTATCTGATATTATCCCTGAGGCAGTTAGCAGTGCAGGAGACCACTTGGGGCTGAGCCAGGCATCATTTGTGTTCTGGCCCACAGGGCATCCAGGTTTGTGTCCATACAGTATCAAAGCCTTGTCCAGCTGAGTGTTCACTTTCTTAATTGAAGGAGACATACTGAAATTGAACCAAAGTTTTGTAAAAATAGATCCTGTTGACTTTGTTGTACAATTAAAATGTCTTATTGATGCAAAGAATCTTAATTTCAGGAACTGCTCATATCTACAACAGAACTTAAGGAAATGTCTGAGTACTACTTTGATGGAAAAGGAAAAGCCTTTCGACCAATTATTGTGGTGCTAATGGCCCGAGCGTGTAATAGTCATTATAATAACTCCCGGTGAGTTCCATACTTTCACACCCTATCATTGCGTTATATTTGAGATTTTTCATTCCCCAGGTTACCATTTTGTTCCCATTTTAAAAGTAACATATATCTAGCTAGATGTGGTAGTGCACACATATAATCCCAGTGACTTGGGAGGCTAAAGTGGGAGGATTGCAAGTGCAAGGTCAGCCTTAGCAATTTAGCAAGGCCCTGTCTTGAGATAAAAAGGGCCGGGGATGTAGTTTAGTGGTAAAGCACCCCTGTGTTCAATCCCCGGTACCACAAACAAAAGCATATATCTAAGAATTTGTTCTGTTATGTATAGATTCTGACTTTGAATCACTGATGTCACTGTGGACATCTTCCTTTTGCAGACTTCTTCATGTCCTTTGAAGAATAACTTAAGTTACAAATAAAAATCCAAAACCATATTTGTTTTTCTCACTGGGAAGTAAAGAATACCGGGATGTGTATTTAATCATTTTACACTTGGATGGTTAGTCCAAAGGTTGATTGTTCTGAAGTTGAGCAGGCCATTATTATGGGCAGTGGATGCACACACCCAGGGTTACTGCTTCCTGTAACTTTTTGAATCGTGCAGAAAAGAAATCTTTAAAGAAGACGTATTGATTTATTTTTAAATAGCTGCACCATTTTAACATTACAGGAAATCTTAAAAGGAAAAACCATTTCCCCATTACTTTGTGCAGCCCTGTTGCTCATTCTGCTTCCCTTTCTTCTTGCATTCAGTTATTCAATATATATAATTTTGTGTTCTGCTTTGCTTTCTTGCCATTGTTTTTAAACTCTTTACCTTATTGCTGAAGTATCTTCCTGTTACCGATCAATGGCAATTCCAGTAGACCATAATAAGCATCCCTAGAGTTGAACAGTTACTTCTAAGGAATTCCTAAGAGTTGTCAGCACTAACTTTAATGCTGATGCTATAAGAATGAGCACCAGATGTTTCTTAGCAAATGCAGGTGCCACCTCTGCCTGCAGTCTTGTGTCCTACAGCGATGCCTCTTTATGTCCAGCACAATCACAGTGCTCAGAATCACCTTAAGATTTTAAAAGAGATTTTAAGATTTTAAAATCATAAGATTTTCAAAGAGCTCACAATGTATTTTGAGCATGCAGTAAAACCTTTTAGCTGTTATCTGGACCACTTTGACTTTACCTAGAAGGCAGAACAGCAGAAATGATCCCCTTGAACCAAACTTAAAACACATCTCATGTGGTTTTAGAGCAAAGTTTCTCAGCCCCATGACATCTTGGGGCCAATCATTCTTTGTTGGTGGGATGAGAGTTAGACTGTCTGGTGCATTATAGGATGTTTAACACTATCCCTAGTCTGTACCTACTGAAGGCCCCCCAGTTGATAGTAACCAAAAATGTCTTTAGCATTGCCAAATGTTCCATGGGGTGCAAAAATCCCCCCTGGTTGAGAACCACTGGTCTAGGGAAAGTATATTTATATTTTAAATTCTCAGACTAATATATAATACATAGGCAATGTCTAGCATGGGGACAAGTCACAATCCCAGCCTGCATTGGGGTGATCTAGTACTCTGCCAGTATTACTCTCCAAGTTGCAACTTCTTGAGAATACTTGTTTCCCAGAGACATTTCTGAATTGGGCCCTTAATGAGCTAAATATGTGGCTATTGTTTCTGTGCCACGTGAAGAAAAAAAGGGCAGCAACATCTGAAGAGCTGGGCCATTTGTGATTTTACTTGCTCATAAAGATCCAGAACAGCATAGAAAAACAACATTTTAAGATTCAGGAGTAGGGGCTGGTGTTGTGGCTCAGTGGTAGAGCGCTCGCCTGGAGTATGCAAGGCCCTGGGTTCGATTCTCAGCACCACATAAAAATAAATAAATAAAAATAAAGGCATTATGTACAACTAAAAGAAATTTAAAAAAAAAAAAAGAAAGATTCAGGAGCAGGACCATACACTGCCTCCATTTTAGCCAGTGCCACCAGAGTATCCTTTCATCCCAGTGACACTCTATGTATTCTTGTGCCTCACATGCTTGCTTCTTGGTGATGGCACAATGGAGAGAGACCCTCTTTATCATTTGACAGTCAAAGTTTAACAGCTGTTTATGAACCTTATCAGACATCTTATTTCTAAAGTGTGTATTAAATCATTTAGTAACATGGTGAGGATTTTAGAAGACAGAACGGGAATCTCAAGAAGTAGTAAGGAAGGGAAAACCACCTGTTGATTTTTCTGCCTTTATTAAGCTTTTCAGCTATCTATTAAATGTTCTCTGCTGGATGACTTAACTGGGAGTTTTAAACCTGAGGTCTATAGGAGTTGTGGGGGTCGGTGAACCCTTGAAATTATATACGATTTGTTTATTTATTTATCTATCTATTTATTTTGGTTCTGAGGATTGGACCAAGGGCGCTTAACCATTGAACCATACCTTCAGCCCTTTTATATATTTTATATAGAGACAGGATCTCGCTGAGTTGCTTAGGGCCTCACTAAATTACTGAGGCTGGCTTTGAACTCACCATCCTCTTGCCTCAGCCTCCCAAGCTGATTACAGGCGTGTGCCACCATGCCCAGCTAAAATTTTTTGTGTATTTGCATTTATCTGGGGAAGGGTATCCATGGCTTACTATATACTCTTGAAGGATAATATGGCCCTGAAAAGATTAAGATCCAGTTTTTTTTCTCCCTATATCCTGATAATCACCATACATAGGAAAGTAAAGTGGGAATACAGACTCAGGTTTCAAATGTCCAATAAATAGAGATGCGGTGAATTCTGATATGTTCCTCCTCTATTGCCCTTCACTGAAATACTCTTTGCCTCAGCTGTTAATGCCTATTTGCCTTCATTCCTCAGCCTTGTCAAGAAATGCTATTGTCCTTTCTGGAGGCAGCTCATGTCTAGGGATTGATAGATAAAGGACCATTCCAGTTGCAGAGCTCCTTCTGGGCTAAGTCTGTTGGGTTTGCCTTGCCTTCCTGTTCTGCCCTCCTTCCCCTGGGTGTTGATCCTAAAGACTCTTCTAGTAAACATCCAGTTCATTAACTTGTTTGCTTTTTTGGCAATACAGGGGACCAAATCCAGGACATCACACATGCTAGGCAAGCGCTCTACCTCTGAGCTATATCCCCAGCCTACATCTTGTAAATTAGGCTCCATCTCAGAATGCGTCCCAGATAATTTAACTTGTAATAGAATTCAACAAAACCTAAACCAACACTTAGGTCAGCACTTAGGTTATCAAAGAATTTTGAGCTTTATCAGGGATTTGGGCAACATACTGAGACCCCTACCTCAAAAAAAAAAAAAGATGGGGGAGGGGCTTTATATTAAATACATTTTTCTAAAATTGCTCTGTTGTATTTATAGCACAATATGGTGTCTATGTCTTTCTCCCAAACCTCTCCTGGTAGCCTTGTTGAAGTGACCTACTACCATCATTGGCACCATCCATTCCTGTGTGAAACTTCCAGCACTGGAAAGTAAAGGCCACTGTTAATGATGAGGAATACCTGGGGGAAAAGTATGGGTTTGACCAAGGATAACAGCCCACAAGTGTGAGCTCACAGGCATCCCTCCTACATCCTGTGCCACCCCTTAGATTGTGGGCACTGTTGATGTTGGTGCCAATAACATCCCCCACACACACACACTTTAGTTTTGCTTGTAATTTAAGACTTCACATTATTTAATAGTATGAATGGGGAGTGGTTTTAGTCATACCTATCTGGTCACTGTGGTACATTCCTGTAGTCCCTGCCACTCCAGAGGCTGAAGCAAGAGGACTGTTTGAGCCCAGCAGTTCTAGGTCAGCATCGTAGTAAGATGCTAGGCAACATAGTGAGATTGTGTATCTCACAAATAATTAAATAAAAGTAAAGTCACATGTAAGCTGGATAAAGAGTGTGAGGAGGGTCATTATAGTCATCCATTTTTTGTATGTTTGAAATTCTTCATTTAGAAAATTATTTTAATCTAATGAAGGGGAAAAGCATTCCGAGGGGCTTGCTCAATCATAGCACACAGGACAAAGCCAGCTTTCAAAACTAAGGGCTTCTTTTTCTCGTGATACCTTGCCTGTCACCTCTCCAGGGAGCTGGGAAAGTGTGGCAGTTATTTCACAGTAGGAAGTAGGAATGGTGCCCAGCTTTTCAAAGACATGACTCGGTTTGGCACTTCAAAGATTTCATCTTAAAGATAGTGTGAGCTTTTTCTGTAATCTGTAAATTACAGTCATCTGTCCCTATAGGATGCTGCATTAAGGATAAGCAGTGGCAGTATTTTGCAGTTACAAGGTGGCACACATTAAAACCTAATTGTGTAGGAAAAAAATACATCAGACTCATAAAGCATCTAAAATCTGGTGTAGAGGCTATGTCACAGTGCCAAATAGCCTTCTAAGCAAGAATTCTGATTTCATTAGTCAGTAATTAAGCCATGCAAAATGACATTTTTGTATGCATAGCCAGTCTATGAAATTTCAGAATATTAATAAGTCTTTGTTTTAATATCTTCAAATGACAAAACAAAACAAGCTAGCCTCTGAATGAGCCCTTCCATTTCATTGTAACCTCCCAGCGGGAGCCCTGTCGGCTGATAGAACTTGTGATAATGGAAGTGGTGCCCAACTTAGGAATGCTGAGAAAAGCTAGAGGCCTTGACAGTTTCTTTAAGGTAAGTTCCATCCTTAGTTGATAAGAAAAGTATATTTTATTAGACTGAAACCTAGTTGAGAAAATATTCTTTTAAAATAGCCTTATATTTAAAACCAACTATAAGAATCTATCTTTACCTGAAAAACAGCATAGGTTCCTAATATGAAGTCTGAGTGTCTCACTGAGGAATTTAGTGCAAGCTCCTGAAAGCCATCTGAACCTCTGTTTTCTCATTTACCAAAGTAGTTTATTGTTGCGGTGCTGGAGGATCGAACCTAGGGTCTCGAACAGGCATTACTGAGCCACACCCCTAGCCCAATGAAGTAGTTTTATATGATGATTTGTCTCCATCCTCTGTTGCTTTTTTTATTCTTAGTTGTTGATGGACACAATACCTCTAATTTATTTATTTTTTATGTGGTGCTAAGATTTGAACCCAGTGCTCACATGTGCTAGGCAAGCGCTCTACCACTGAGCTACAGCCCTATCCCTTTGCTGCTTTTTTTGTTTTACTTTTTCCATCTTGGAAGAATCTGTCATGATCTGGAAGTATTAAGAACTGTTGTGTTGTGGCTTGTGAAATATTAATAAGTGATGAGCATCATGTAAAATTGATTTCAAGCTGAAAGCATTTGGAAAGTTGTGAGTCTTAGTTCTAAGGCCTCGGGTAAGAGAACCCAGCAAGGAATCATCTTAAAATTCTATTTAAAGAAAGAGCAGAAGATAGTCACATGCTTTCTTAGTGTCTATTGTTGATTCCTGCATCTTTTCTGTAGTTACACTGCATTTTTAATTATATTCTGCAAGATATAAAGAATGAGCACTCTCTTATACAGATGTTCAGATTAAATTTTTACATAAAAGGGTCATTTCAGTAGTACACTCCATTTCCTTCCCTCATTAGATATAACCTAGCTGCGCATGGTCGAGAATGCCTATAATCCCACTAATTTAAGGAGACTTTGTCTCAAAATAAAAAATCAAAATAGGGCTGTAGCTCAGTAAACACTATAGGTTCAACCCCCAGCACCTCCCCACCCACAAGGTCGAGTAAACAGAATGAGTGAAACATGTAGTGTGTTTAAGTCAGGCATATGTATGAGACTGAAAATGAGTTAGCTATTTCTTTAGTTTGTGGTTTGTTTTTTTTTTTTTTTAATGCCCATAGATGGAGATAGTGAGCCAGGCACAGTAGCACATGCCTATAGTCCCAGCTGCTCTAGAGGCTGAGGCAAGGCTGAGGCAGGAGAAGCACTACAGCCTAGGCCTGGGCTCCTAGCAAGACAAAAGTACTAAAAATTCATATTTAATGAAATAGAAGACAATCTAAAACATTCTATCTTGGTTATTGATGTTGTCATACTGACCATTTAATTTAAGACTATTAAGAGCTTTAAACATAGTGACAGTTGATTCTTTAAGACACTTTAAAAATATTTCTTATGTTTTTTCACCTTGCAACCCTGAAATTTAATTGTAACCTAAGTATAACTTGGACAACTGACCAAGTCCACTACTAAAGGACATAAAGATGATTGTTCACCCAGTGGCCAGACTTTTGAGATATTTATCCTTTTTTTATTAACTATGCAAATTCTACTCCTTAATGTAGAGTCCATAAATTAGAGTCTTGGCAGGATCTTTTGTGCATTTTTAAAATGTTCTCCAAGTGATGGAAATAGCTCTGTAGGGAAGCCATCATTTTTATACAGTTTCTCTTAGAGAAATAAAATTCTTTGTCCTAGATCCGATGTCCACTTTTCACAAGATGATTGCTGAGAAGGTTCTAGGAGGCGCCTCTGTTAAAAAAAAGCATTGCTTTCTGTTAACTAGAGATATGCAAGCCAGCCAGCGCTCCATAGCCTTAATTGCAGAAATGATCCACACTGCTAGTCTGGTTCACGATGACGTTATTGATGATGCAAGTTCTCGAAGAGGAAAACACACAGTTAATAAGATCTGGGGTGAAAAGAAGGTATGGCTTTTAAAATTCCTTCTTACCAAATCACGTGCTTTTTGGATTACATTTGTTTTTCAGATATGTCTCTAATTCCGAAGTAAAACATGCTTGTTCAAATACGGTCTTATAAATTTCAAAAAAGTATTCATGTCACTTTTGTATATAGATATTTCATAAACAAGAGAAAATGCCATAGAAAATAAACTTAGTATTTCTGGTTCCTCATCATTTCATATAGCATTTCTTTTGGTTGTAAGGAAAGGGATATTCATGGGTTTCCAAAAAGTGAATTTCATAAGGAATCATACATTTTTTTTAATATTTATTTTTTAGTTGTAGTTGGACACAATACCTTAATTTTATTTATTTTTATGTAGTGCTGAGGATCGAACCCAGGGCCTCGCATCAGCTAGGCACACGCTCTACCGCTGAGCTGCAAGCCCAGCCCAGGAATCATACATTTTACTTTTGGATTCAAATTACTCAGACTGTGTCCAATTCTTTAAACATTTATTGATTGACTACTATATACAAGAGTGTTGAAGCAAATAAATAAAACTAAAAAAGAAAAAAAATCTTAGATACTATTCTACCATAAAAATCTTAATCTTTTTAAATTCAGTCAATACAATAGGGTTTGGTTCATATGAGTATGTATTTTTAAAATGTAATTCCATATTAGTTTATTAACATTCTTTGAGGGCAGTGTGCACCTTAGGGACTTCAGTTTGAGGATATATAAATTATAGGTTGAACAATGGAAATAAAGTTTAAAAAAGGAACAAATAAGGATGCACAGGCCTTTTAAATTAAAAGGTTTTTATCCTGTTGACTGAAGTCTAAACATGAGAATGCTGGCAAAAAGAAGATGAAGTTTTGTTTTGGAGAGGACACGGGTAACTTCATGACTCATTCCTGCCATCAGCTGTGTCTGTTTTCAGGCAGGGCCAGTCCTGAGCCTTATTTGTTTGGAGCTGTTGGGCAGGGAAGGATCATCAAGGGAACAAATTATGGTCTTCTCCTTGTGTGTCTGCCACTGCTGATGGGGGCTTCTCAGTGCAGGTAAAAGGAGGTGTTTGCTGCCATCCTCTGCCTCTCTCTGTTACTAGAGTGGCCTGCTCAGCACGAGTCTGCCTGCTAGTCACCTTTTTCCTGCTTCTAAACCACATGACTGTATTATTGCTACAAGAATCCATTCACCTGAGCCGTTGTTGCCCCTGGTTCCCTTTAATTCTTCAAACCTAGCTATCTAGATCCTTGTGGTTCTAGTTTCATGTGCTATAACTTTTGGGCCTCTAGGATCCTTAGGGCCAGAAAGGAAAGAGGTAAAGACCCAGGAATCTCAGGCGTCAAGTTGCTAATGCTGTGGCGGGTAAATGGGTGGGTATAAGTGTGTACATATATGTCATGATGTGTCAAATTACTTTATAAGTGTATACTTACATGGTGCTAGCTTATGTGATATGTGTATTATATAAAAATGGTGATTAATTAGTAAACACACTCTGAATGTTACATGTCTCTCTTTTAGATACAAGAGAACAGACAATAAATACCTAAAATGGTTATGTTGAAAATTCTATGGATTAAAATTTCTGTGAGCTCTAGCATTTATGACTAATTCCAATAGGACTTAATAACACTTAAGCCATGTCTTTAAATATGTAAATTAATGTGAGTACATGATTACAGCATGTTATTCAACTACATGTAATTTGTGATTATTTGCTAATACTTTGTGGACATCTCATGATCTAAAGTTTGAGAAAGTATTGATTACCTAATAATCAATGAAAACAATATTTAATTGGGCTGGGAGTATAGCTACGTGGCAGAGAACTTGACTAGGAGGTGCCAGGACCTGTGGTTGATGCCCAACACTAAAAGAATTTGGGGTATGACCTATGAATGAAGGGCAGTGTAAAACACTGCAAAGAGTATTGAACTTGGAGCAAAATATCCTTAGTTTAATTCTCATTGGGAAAAAAACATGCTGGGATGCTAAGTACTAGCAGAAATGTTCCTTGTCTGGGTCCTCCAGGAGTGAAATGAACAGGACAACGCTGCTTGGGGTGCAGAGTTCAATGGTTGTGCTTACTTAGTCAGAGGCATCTGATCAGACTGCCATAGCAGAGAAGACTTCTTGGAGGTGGTATTTGAGCTAATTTTGCAAATTGAGTTTACAAATTGAGTTCCCCTTGAAAAAGGGTGTGTGTGTGTGTGTGTGTGTGTGTGTGTGTGTGTGTGTGTGTGTATCAAACCTAGGGACTGGAGTATGCTAACCAAGTGCTATATCACTGAGTAACACCCCAGCCCCCAAAGAACTTTTTGAGCAAAAGGAACATTAAGTGAAAAGGCAGAGTGACGTGGTTTGAGGGAAGAGCAAATGATCCAGTATAGCTAAAATGAAGGCAGCTGCATTTTGGTGGCCTCTGGGGGATGAAGTAAGAAGGTAAATTCCATTCCCTTTCCATGACTAAGGTAATATGTGAGAGTCAGCTCAGGTCAGACAGTGGCCCAAATCTGTAACTGATTATTATGTAATCCTGCTGAGAAAGGAGGAAACTCATTCTTTCCTATTCTGCATTCATCCTCTGACAAGACAGCTTCATCATTGACTCCATTGCTCTCATCTTTTTATTTGAGTTTTTCCTCTTCTTTTTCTAGGCTGTTCTTGCTGGAGATTTAATTCTTTCTGCAGCATCTATAGCTCTGGCACGGATCGGAAATACAACTGTTATATCCATTTTAACCCAAGTTATTGAAGATTTGGTGCGTGGTATGTTGATTTTAACTCTTTTTTTTAAAATTTATTCAATCCTGGTATTTAGTAGGCAGTAAAACCATATCTCAAGAGACTTTTTTCCTTCTTTTCAGGTGAATTTCTCCAACTAGGGTCAAAAGAAAATGAGAATGAAAGATTTGCCCACTATCTTGAAAAGACTTTCAAGAAGACCGCAAGTCTGATAGCCAACAGTTGTAAAGCAGTATGTACGTTCTGTCTCTTTTCAAGTTAAAAAAGTCTCATAGCTCTTTCTTGGAGCTAATTGTAGAAAATATATCACTAGAAAACTGAGGCAAAGTGCTTGCCTAGCATGCACAATGCCCTGGGTTACACACACACACACACACACAACTTCTACTATGGGCTATGGTTTTTAATTTTTGCTATTTTTTTAAAAAATATTTTTTAATTGTCAATGAACCTTTATTTTACTTGTTTATATTTGGTGCTGAGAGTCAAACCCAGTGCTTCACACATGCTAGGCAAGTGCTCTACACCGAGCCACAACCCCAACCCCATTGCTATCTTCTTTTGATATGCAGCCATTAACTATTCTTTTTATCTTGCCTCCTAAGAATTGAATCAAAATAAGCTTTATATTATATCCCCAATTTATTGTTCAAACTGTAACATTCTGAACAATTTGTGGCAATTTTTTTCACATTTGTTGTCACATTATTTCTGACATTTTTACCTTTAGAAAGTTATGAAGTGTGTTCTACATATTTTTTTAATAAATAGTAGATCTTTCCAACATTATTATATGAAATATAAATAAGCCTTATTTCTTCAGACTATCATTGATGATTTTTTTGTTTTGTTTTGTTTTGTTTGGAACCAGGGATTGAACTTGGGGGCACTCAACCACTGAGCCACATCCCCAGCCCTATTTTGTATTTTATCTAGAGACAGGGTCTCGCTGAGTTGCTTAGCCCCCTTGCTTTTGCAGAGGCTAGCTTTGAACTCGTGATCCTCCTGCCTCAACCTCCCGAGCTGCAGGGATTACAGGCGTATGCCATCACACCTGGCTACACTGATGATATCTTAACATTAGTTAACATCTTTAATCCATAGCCTAAAAGGTGTAGTATTCATTGTTAAGCACACAAATGAAAACCAATGTCTCCATACAATTTCATCTGAGCGTCTCTCAGCCTAAGGGATACAGAGATAAGTAATCATCCCATGTGATTACAGCAACAAGAAAAGAAGACCTCGGAGGGTCAAATGGAAATTGCTTTCGTGACATGCTTTTAACATGACTACAATTAAAGAGAGCTTTTTCTCAGAGTTCTCCAGTGAATAAGTCCCTTGCTAATACCATCTCTGATAAGTGTCAAGAAATGTGTAATTGTGAGCCGGAAAAGAATGAGGACACCACTGTCTTCCTAAAAAAGATCTAATTGAAACCCTAAGGAATGTGAATTATGTAGAACATGCTGGCCACAATCTCAGCCATTTTTGTCTTTTTATTGAAAGGGCTATTATGTTCTTATTTCTAAGAAATTACAAGTGTGGAGTTTTTTATTTTTTAAGAGATGAAAATATGATAGATACCGAATGTTAAATAAAAGAATGGCCTATTTAAAATGGGTGCTTTAAAGCTGTTACATTAATCCTTCATTGATTATTGATGACCAAAATCTGCATCAGGACCCATCATAAGACACTCTAGTATGTTAAGTGAGAAGTTCATTGATAATTCCTAAGTTTGAGACTGCAGTTTAGAGGCATGAGCAGGTGAGGGGGCTGTTGGAATTAGAATTGCACAAAGTGGACAACCTCAGGCACAAAGGAGCAGTACTGCCTGGGGCCAGAACTGGGACTGATTCACTCAGTGCCAGAAACCGAGGAGATGGATGTAAGTTATCTAAGTTATCAAGGAAAGATTTAATTATGGTCACTATCCTCTGCTTAAGAAGCCAAAGATAATGCACAGGTATTCTTTCATAAATAGTACTGAATTCTTCAAAGATTTTTAGCAAGTAAATAATGAACGTATGAACATGACTCAACCGTTTATTAAAAACAAAATACTCTAAGCCCTCCACTAGGAGTCATGCTGGCATCGCCCCAGAACCATCTATTTTTCCATGTAATTTTTTCCTAAACCCCAGAGCTGTTAGAATAATAAAACAAAATCATAGTGTGTTCTCTGAATAAAAGCTTCTATATTTAAGTACCCATGGGTGGAAATATTCCAGTGGTGTTATGTATTGAAAATTGCTATTTTTATGTACTCTTGGTATTTAAAATGCAAAGATGTGAGCTCCGAAGAAATGCATACGAAGCAAATTAAACAGGCCAAAAGAGGGAATAGGAATGTAAAGATTGGTATTATTATAGAAGAACTAGTGGGTTTCCAAAATGTTTTAGGAATTGGAAAGAAATTTACCAGCTTCTAATTCATTCTACCAAGGACACCATTTTTCCCCTTCCATCTTACCCCAAGCCACCTTATCCTTTTTAACCAACCACTTTATTATAAGCAGGAATAATATGGAAATCTAAGAGAGGACTATCTAGGGAGATTTGTTTTTGTAACTGATGTTAATTCTAAAAATAGAATTAATTAATCTTATGTTCAAAAAATGACTGGGCGTTTATTTAGACAGTCGTGCAAAATACATTGTATAGCTTACCAGTAAAAGTGATGACTTGTTGTCCAGAATATTGTTTGGAATGAGAGCTGACAAGTTGTGTTGTCTGGCCAGTGTTCTTCAGCTAGACAGTGGTTAAGCTGGGACTTGAACCTAGAACTAGGTAATCCTGCTTTGTTGTTGTTTCCCCTTGGTTTGGTTTGGTTTGGCTTTGTAGTACTGGGGGTTGAACTAGGGCCTCGTACATACAGGTGCTCCACCAGTGAGCTATATCCTTGGCCCTTTTTCCTGGGTTTCTTTTCTCTCCAGCAATATGTGTGTCCTGGAATCATTGGGGTTTCTTCTTGCTTTATTTTCAAAGCTCTAGAGTGCTACCACAGAATTTTGTGTTCTGGATCATATTAGCAGAATGCTGAGTTTTTGTTACTGTATATGAATAGACCTTAGTCAGATTTTGTGAATTGTCCAAATACAAAATAACAAAAGGGAAAAAATCTTTTCCCCCAGGATCCATTCCAGGATCTCACGTTGCCTTCAGTTGTCATGAGATCTTAGTCTCTGTTGTCTAAAGCAGTTCCTTAGGCTTCATGTTGTGTTATTACCTTGATGTTCTGAAGAACTCAGGCTAATTATGTTGTTGAGCCTCTCAAGGTGTGTTTGTCTGATGCTTCTCAAGATTAGATTCAGGTTGTGAATGTGGCAGGAGTACAACAAGCAGTGCTGTCCTCTCAGTTTATCACCTCAGGAGATGCCTGATGTCTCTAGCTCCTAACTACTGAGGTGCACTTTGATCACTTGGAGAGGGTGCTATCTGCCAGGAGTCTTTACTTTAAAGTTAATATTTTGCCCTATTTTTAAGGAGGCATTTTCATATTATGTAAATATTGTTTCTCATCAAACTCTCACCTGCTGGTTTTAGCATCTTCTAATGATTCTTTTCTGAGGCAGTTATTACTATGGTAGTTGCCAAATGGTGGTTTTCCTGTCATTCCTTCCAAGTCACTCTTCTACAGTAGTGTTAGTCTTCTGTTATAGGTAGCTCTTGTCTGGATGAATCTTAGGTTGTAATTCTATGGATTATAACCCTTTATCAAGGTTTAAAGCTTAATTGTCCCATATTTGGCCACGGGGGGAGGCCCTTTAATCTTGCTTCTACATCTTTTAATATGTTTCCAACATTCTTTTAGCACTTCCTTAATTTATGGCAGGAGATAATCCAGGCGCATCTTGTGCTTTCCAGCCCTGGCTTCCATGGAGCCCAAATTCTTTTTGGTGGAGATGATATTTAGAAATCAGAATTTGGAACTGCGTGTCACTGTTTCTAGGCCCTGTCGGTGGAATAGCTGGACATACCTGTGTATGTGTTGTGTATGTATGTAGTGTTATGGTTTAAATCTGGATTCTCCCCCAAAGGCTCATGTGTTGAATGCTTTGTCCCTTGCTGGTGGTATCATTGGGTGGAAACCTTGGGAGATGGGGTGTGTTTGGAAGAGGTGGGTCACTTGGGGCACACCTTTGAAGGGTATGCTTTGTCCCTGGACCCTTCTGTCTCACTGCTTCCTGGATGCCCTGAGGTGAACACTTCTGATCCACTGTGTACTCTCCACCATGATGTTCTGCCTCACCAAAGTGACCATGGACTGGAACCTCTGAAACTATGAGCCAAAATAAATCTTTCTTCCTCTGCGGTTGATTTTCTCAGGTATTCCTTTACAGTGACAAACAGCTGACTAACACCTATGGATATGTACATTTCTGTATCCACCCAGATTTCTTTGAAACCTTTAGGTATCCTACTGGTGGCTCCAAATCCACCTCACCCCTCAGGATTCATGATTTATTCTAGCATTCCATTTTTCCATATTTGTAACTCTTCCCCAACTGTGAGAAACTTGGTTCCCATTCTCCACAATGTATTTATATGCTCAATCCTACAGTATCCATAGGACTTTCAAAATCAAAATGTGAAAAACAAGCCCAGTGGCTAGCATTTAGTGTTTTGTTTACAGATCCTTTTGTTTTTAGCTTGAGGATAAATCAAAGCACTGTTTAAAAGTTATCTCTCCCATCTGTGTGGTGGCACCTGTAATGCCTGTAATCCCAGTGGTTCGGGAAAATGACGTAGGAGGATCACAAGCTCAAGACCTGTCTCAAAAATTTAAAAATGAAAGGAGCTGAAGATATGGCTCAGTGGTTAGGCACGCTGGGTTCAGTCACTGGTATCAAAATAATAATAATAATAATTCCTCTCTCCTTTCTGGTGTGGTTATTATTTGAAAATTTGGAGCATTTTAATTCCATGTTAGGGGTTCCTTCCCGTTGTTAACTGATTTTGCTTGTTTTGTGTGAGGGTCTTGTTACTCTTGTTATTTTGAGTATATAAGACATTAACATTGCTCAAAAGTCAAAACTTACAAAAAGCCAGCTCCCCTTTCTTTTTTTTTTTATGCCATCGTCACTTCCCCATCTGCTGCACGCAGCTTGTGGGTGACTAGTCTCATTATTTTCTGATTCCTCCTTCCTGTGTTTCATTTTGTACAAGTGAACAAACACGTGTCTATCTTTTCTTTCTCTTTCTTACAACAAAGAATGCACGGGTCTCTGTGTTTGTTTTGCTTTTGCACCTTGCTTTATTCACTTAATAATATATTCTGAACAGATACCATGATGATTATAGAATCTGCCTCATTTAAAAACAGCTGCAACTGTATCTATTGTGTGGATGTACCATAGTTTATTCAGCTACTTTCCTATGTTTGGGCATTCAGGTCTCCGGTATTTTATCATTATTAATAACATTACAATGACTAACCTTATGTAAGAGTATTTTTGTATTGTGAGAGGTATGTGTTTTGGGTTAATTTAGGGGCAGTTGCATTTGTGGCTTTGTTAGACACATAAGCAAATTCCCTGTACAGAGTATAACAGTGTGCATTTCTGTCAGAGTTGATGAGGGTGTCTTACTTCTTTCCCACAGCCTTACTAACTGAATACGGCATTAGACTTTTTAGTTGTTCCCAATCTAATATATGAGGAATGGTATCATGGTGATTAATTTGTATTTCTTCTGAGTGAAGCTGCACATCATTTCATATGGTTAAGAGTCGTTATTATTTCTTTAATTTTGGAGAATTATCTGTCCCTATCTTTTGCCTATTTGATCTTTTATCCCCTCAGTTCTTAAGAGCTCTTTATAAGTTATTAGTTATTTTTCTGTGATGTTATATGTATTTTCTCTGAATATTTTCAGTTGGTTTTGACGGTATCCTTTTTTGATATTTTCTGTGATAGTAGAGTTTCAGTTCTGTCTGCTGTTTTTAACAAATAAGATTCAATGTGTACATTCCTATCCAAATATTTCTCTTAATCCATGTTGAAGAAACAGACTCTTCAAAGATAGAAATCCTTGCCAGGTGCAGTGGCACATGCCTGTAATCACAGGGGCTCAAGAGGCTGAGGAAGGAGGATTGCAAGTTCCAGACCAGACTTGGCAACTTGAGCAAGACCCTGGGTCAAAATAAAAAATAAAAAGGGCTGGGCATATGGCTCAGTGGTAAAGTGCCCCTGGGTTCCATCCCCAGTACACCAAAAAAAGATAAGAGATCCTTATTAAATATCAAGTATTTTTCCCTCTCCAATACGAACAGTATTTCCCAATTTTTCTGAGAATCTGATGCAAGGTGTGGCCCTTCCCCAGAAAGAAGCACATATACACACACAGCACAACATGGCTGTGGCATCTGCTTCGACCAAAACAATCAGTGAAGCTCTACTTTCTTTGACTTACTCATTCTCTATTTTCCACCCACTTTCAGAAACGTGAGCATCTCTGATGCTGAGCAGTGTCCTTTTACATTAGCTTACCTCCTTGCCATACATGTGTTGTGCTTTGTTGTATGATTTTCCTATTTGTGGTTGTTTTCGGTTAGATTGCCACAGATCCCAACAGTTCTTAACCTAGTTAAGGGAACAGGACTCTGAGGAGGTCTTTGTGCTACAGGAGTTGAAATGTGAACACAAACGTTGACCCTTCACTGTGTGTGAGGTAGAAGCTGCCCGCTAACGAGGAGCTCATGGCTGTTTGGGCAGATGTGAGTGGGGAGGGGACATGGCAGGCAGACTTCATGGCTTTATGCCGACTTGGGGCATGTTCCTTGACCTCTTTGAGCTTCTGTTGTTCTGTCTGTTGGAAGCAGTATTACAAAAGGATTTAAAAAAAAAAATGGTATCTGAGGCCAGATGCTTGGATTCAGATTCCAGCATGTCTTTGAATGTAACTCCTGTTCCCTTGGCATCTCAGTTCCTCAGACCTCACAGTGACTTCCTGTGCAGTGAATCTTAGAATGGTGTCTGGTACAGAGCGAGTGATCAGAATTTGTCAGTTTTTCTCATCATCAGCCACATAATAGTATTTATGGGATGTTGTGAGCTTTAACCAAGATGATACAAGGTGCTAACAATATGTGCTCCGTGATTGTTAATCTATTAACAATAACATTAGAAGTAGAAGACCTCTTTAAAAAATCTTCCATTTTTTCAGTTTGTATTTCTGAGGGGCTTTATGTTAAGAAGACAGCATTAATGTAGCTACAGGAGTGTGCTTCATTGTCAGTTATTTCTGCCCAGTTCAGCATATCCCAAGCTGCCCAAATCTTGCCATGCTCTCATTCTTTAAGCCAATTTGATGGATATCTGAGCTTCCTTCAAAGTTTCTAAATTATTTCCTATGTCTCATAGAGAGTCTTTAATTAAAACTCAGAGCCCCAGATAGGTCTATTGAAAGCAGTTACAAGCTTATTATCCATTCAAATAAATGATCACCTGACCCTTTATGGTGTGGGCAGTTTATCCTGCACTTTCAGCTAAGCATTCTAGTCACAGACTTAACATTGTCAAAAAACATTCTCCAGGCTCAGGAAGTTATATGATCTAACTTTAAAAAGCAGAAGTGAGTGGACCCTGCCCAGGCTGCTGGTTCTGGATCCAGTGGACAGAGGAGGATGAGGGGTAGATTATAAACACAAATTGAGTTCTAACCAGATGCCAGGCAAAATTACTGAGGCTTAGGTGCAACATCACATTTACTTCTCAGCACCCATGTGAGGGGTGCTTTTAATACCTACATTTTACAGAGAAAGGAACTGAAACACAGAAAGCTTAAATAGTATGCCATGGTCACATGGTTGGGGTAAGGGGCAAAATTCAAACCCTGCTGGCAAACTGCAGAGAGTGCCCCACTGTACCATGCTGATGCCTGAGCAAAATGGGTTCTCAAACACAGAGGTAGGGACTAAAGGTTGGGGATAGGATTATTTATCACCAGTGATCATTACATGAAGACCTCCATCTGACTTTCTCATTGAGAGTCAATGTAGACATTTCCTCTCCAGTAAAGCAAAATGAGCACCCCCTTCCCTCTTTGTATTTTTACCCAGTCTTTGTTTTCTGAAAATATGGCCAAGCCTGCTTAGCATGCTTAACAGAGCAGTGGGAAGTACACTCAAGCGGCTGACTAGTTATCTTTTGAGTATTAAAAAAGACTTTTGAAGCCCTTTTTCTCCAGAACCCCACTAACAAGGGGATAAAACACTTGTTACACAATTATATTAGTTCTTGCAAGAGAAATATAGGAAGAGTAGAACCAAGGACAATCCTTCTGATAATGAAAGAATAAAATCTGAATGTCTGAAGCACAAGGCTTGAGACTGTTGCAGACAGAGCAAGAAACAACTACATTCAGAAGTAAGTGGAATAACCAAAATTTATTAAAAGAAAAGAGTACAGATGGGGAAATACACATCATGTGAATGATTTGATGAGATATCTCGCCCTAAAATGAAGGGTAATCTGTAGAGGTTCTTTAAAGCCAACAGTATATTGGGCCAGTGTGCTGAGTGCTGGAAGCCAGTATTTCACATAATGGAATCTGTTTCTTTTTCATGTCACAAAGGTTTACTTAGCCTGATAGCAGAACTGTCTCCTAATAGCTCAGTTTTTCCCAGGCAATGAGAAAGACTTTATTCTGTTGCAAAGAAAGGGGGAAGGGTAAGGTTGTTTTCTTAGTATTTAAGTAAACAGAGGGTGGGCTAGCTCAGTGATAAGAGTGGTTGCTTAGCATACATAAGGCTCAGGGTTCTATCCCTAGCACCACCAAAAAAAAGGTAAGAAAAAGAACATTTATTTTGTACTTGTTTTGTATCCTTTGGGGATTCCTGGTTCTACATAATCTAGCCTCACAACTTCTTATTTTAAGAGAATCTTCATCTGACTCTTTGATCTAGGGTTTGGCCTTTTTCTGGCTGCCAGCAGCTTATCTGAGAATCTTTGTTTCAGGTCTCTGTCCTAGGATGCCCTGACCCAGTGGTGCATGAGATTGCCTATCAATATGGAAAAAATGTGGGAATAGCTTTTCAGGTTGGTGTGTTTCTTATTTAAAAGAATGGCAGTGTGTTGGGACAGCAAGTACTCTCCCCCCAGTGTAAAATCCCTACAGAGTAGCAGTGATGTGGGCACTGTGATGCTGTTTACATTGCCTTTTTCTTTTCTCTAGCTTATCGATGATGTATTGGATTTCACCTCCTGTTCTGATCAGATGGGCAAACCAACATCTGCTGATCTGAAACTTGGGTTGGCCACCGGCCCAGTCTTGTTTGCTTGTCAGCAGGTAAGTTTTACAAATTGCCTTTGATACACTGTTATGTAGCTTTACAGAGCCAATGTCTCTGGTCACATCTGATGGAAAGGCTGAGATAAGGAGTAGCTAAGGAGACAGATAAGAGACCACAGATCTGGGTTTGATCCTGGTTTTAGAACTGAGATACTGGAGCCAGTCATTTTTACTTCTAAGCCTTATCTGTAAAATATAAAATATAAAAGATTACACACTTCTTCCCCAGGTTGTTTCGAGGATTAACTGAGAGAATACTTACTATCTTGTAAAGTGTTAGGTACCATAGGTATTTTATTTATTGTAGTATTAGGATTTGTTTCATATATTGGGCACTGGCTAGGTGACTGGTTCCCACATCTTGATCGTAGGACTGGACTTTGGGTGTGCCTCAGGGCCCATTAAAAAGGGGCCTGTAAGCCTGAGAAACTCTTCAGTTCCAGAAGTTTAATGGGACTGTTCACTGCTATGAGGCATCAGAGCCTCAGCCTTTGCCTCAGAATGTCAAGAAGTCAATAGAATCCACTAGAATCACAGTTCCTTCTTTCTCCAGATTGAGGGATGTCAAGGAAGTAAGTAAAGCTGCCTTCATATTCTCCTTAATATGGATGAAAGATGCTGCTGTGACTCACAAGGCAAGACATTTCCACCAAGAACCATGTTTTGGTTCCTGGCGGCACTGCTTTCGGCTGTGCCAAGTGTTATCTGAAATAAGTGGGACACTGGCTGGTGCTTGGACCATTTTTTAAATAGATTTTCACTTAGAGGCATTGGGTATTTAGCAAAGCAATAAGATATTCATCACCATGTCATTAAATTAAATACTACCTTTTTGATCTAAAATTTATAAAGGTAAATCATGTCTTTTGTAGAACTCGTTGATTCCATTTTAATCTAGAGAAGAGCGATCATCTTGCAGCTATTATCTAGTAGAGCTGCTGCCAGGGTGATTCAATCCCAAGGGAGGCTGATATCCTGGGTGCTTGATCAGGTTGCCTTGGGCAACAGCAGTCAATCAAAGAATAAAGGCTGTGAACAGAGATGTTGGGGCATTTGATAGAAACACCATTATTACCAGGCTTCATCCTCTTGAAAAAATTTGAGGCTGAAGTGAAAAGTGTGCTTTTCACGGGTCCTTTCTCTCACTGAGACTAACCAGTTTCAAACTCAGGAAGATTATTAATATGTATGCCAAATTCTGCCAAAAATTTATAAAACTCCCTTTGACACATTAAAGCAGGAGTGAGGAACATTTCCTGTTTTGCCATAATCCCACACAAAAAATACTCATTAGCGGTATAAATGTAAGGGTAAGCCTGAGGTTAGAAAAAATTAGTCACTGGCTACCAGGACTGGTAAAACTACATACAGTCTCCTCAGACAGTGGCTGGTAAACATGGGTGAAGAAGGACACGGCATAAGTAGGCTAACACAGCTAGTTTGGCAAAGATTCAGTTGGGCCCTGAGATTAACAAGATAACTAAGAGCATGCCTTTCCTTAAAAAAAGCCTCCAATCTGCTACAATGTTGTATATTTTTAGAAATCTCAACAATTACAAATACTTTTCTTAAGCCCCATCATACTAACAGTTGAGTTCTACTTAAACCTTAAGATAACTGGTTCAAGAAGAGACTGGCCTTTTCTGATTGTTTCACTGTGAACATATTTCAAAAGAAATTAATTTTCTCTACACAAGGAAATAATGGCTAATTTTGCCTTTAGATATAATGGTGTAAAGTGGGGAGCAGTTTGAATGAACTCCTCCTACATATTGATCTGTCGATAAATGTGTGATAAAAAATGGTGGGTTTGGTGGGAGTTAGGGGCAAAGAAAAGGAACAAAGAGTTTCAAAGCCCCAAACCATGATTTTATGTGTGTCTCAGTGGGAAATCCCAGGGTAATGAGGCATCCACTCATTGTCACCAGACAGCACTTTCCTCATCTGCCCATAAGGCAGCTGGAAAAGAGAGTTAAAAAGGCACATTGTAGCCTTAGAAAAGGGAACACATGATGAAGCCAAGCAGGAAGTAACTCTGCATAAGACTTATTTCATAAATAGATTGGTTTTTGTCTGGTGGTACAAGGGCCAGAAGTTAGTCAAATGTGTATTCATAGTTAGTTAAACATGTAATTGTTTTCAAATAAAACAGCAAAGTTAGGCTATACTAATGGATTACAATGTCAAAAAAGGATTCTTTTTTTTTTTTTAAAGAGAGTGTGAGAGAGGAGAGAGAGAGAGAGAGAGAGAATTTTTAATATTTATTTTTTTTAGTTCTCGGCGGACGCAACATCTTTGTTGGTATGTGGTGCTGAGGATCGAACCCGGGCCGCATGCATGCCAGGCGAGCACGCTACCGCTTGAGCCACATCCCCAGCCCAAAAAAAAGAGATTCTTATCAAGAAATTTGTCAGAAAAATTGTGGGAGCCAGGCCCAGTGGCACATCCCAGTGGTTTGGGAGGCTGAGCGAGGAGGATCGCAAGTTCAAAGCCAGCCTCAGTAAGACACTGTCTCAAAATTTAAAAGGGCTGGGGATGTGGCTCAGTGGTTAAGCACTTCTGGGTTCAATTCCCAGTACTCCCACCTTCACCCCCAAATTTATGGGGCTTATCATTTTGAAATTTTGGTTAAAACAAGTTTCAAACATAACATGAGGAAGTACAGTATCTTCATTTAATGAAAATGCATTCTTTTTAGTTTATAAAGGACTCTTTCATACATTATATCTAATCCTCTTTGTGGTAGATATGATGATGTCTGTTCTACAAATAAGAAATTGATGCTCAAGCCTGGCCAAAATCAAACATCTGGTCAATGGCACAAAAGGCAATTGAACATGGCAAAGTTTTCTAGGACCAGCATTCATTTTACTACATCATAAATTATTATTACCACTGATAATGTTGCCAGAAGTTATTACCTGATGAGCTTGTGTAATACCCAGTAGGTCTCCCCACAGAGCAGATAACCAGTGTGCCTGGCATTGAAAATGCAGTGATAATGCTCTGAAGTCTACTTTTTCTTATTTGTGATTAACATGCCCATTTAGTAGAGTAGTTCTAAGGTGTTTGTAATCCTTCTCCATAGGTAGGTGAATTTTTGTTTGTAGATTAGTCTTTGACCTTAACCATTTACAAACATCTGCTGAGTCTCATTGGTATAGCACAAGCAATATTGGGCAACTGCCTTTTTAAGGCATGCTGGGTTATCTTGAAATTAGAATTTGCTGGATTCTGCAATTGTCAGAAATTCCCTGGGTTTGGGATTCTAATATTCTTGGCATCCTCTAAAGATGTTTTCTGATAATAGTTGATACAGGGGATTTAACAAGTTTAGGGGTTGTAGCTCAGTGGTAGAGCCCTCATCTGGCATGTGCAAGACTCTGGTCTGTTTTCAGCACCACAAAAAAGAAAAAAAAGAAAGAAAGAAAACTTTCAGTATTACTGGACAACAAAAACCTTGTTAAATTTCCCAAGAATATATTGATTAGACCCTCATCTTCAGAAATAAAATGGAAGTGTTTTCTTCAGTGAGACTACATTAGTTTGCAAGATCTTTTTGAAAACCTTCTTTTCTTCTGTTTCTCTTACTTGATGTCACCTAAATGTCAGCATGTAGCTGTACTTTCAGCTGGCATCACCATCCCCTGCACCAGCTGCACAGGCTTTTGCTGTTGTGGTGACTAGTTGGTGCCCTAGAGTTACCCAAGTTCTGTTTGGGTAAACACTCCAATTTACTGATCATCTTTGTAGGTTCATTTATGGGCGGATTTCACAATTGGACTCATCCACAGGTTTTCCTACTCTTTTAAAAACAGCCTAAACAAACAAAAAATTTCTTATGCTTTCATTAAATCTGCAGACAGGCAGCTGTTCTTCCTGTTTCTCATTTCTTCTCCACACACACACTTTAAGGGGGATGGGGAGTAGTGCCTAAAATAAGTTTGATATTTGCATGTTAAAACAAACAGTCACATTCAATGCAAATATTTTTAGTATAAAAAAAGCATCAGAGAAACCACCAATCAGCACATTTTACCACTTGCTATGTTGCAGATAAAGTTTATACACTGTAAACAAGGTAAAATTACTCAAGCCCAGTGTCACAATCAACATTATAAAGATAAAGCATTCTAGCTGCCCAGTTTTGGGATGTGCTATTAAAGAATGTAAACAAATGCCTGCCTCATTTGGCTTTTTACAATATTGAGGCTTTCCTGAATTGTTTCCAGTAAAGCTTAAATTATTTTATTTTTAAAAGACAAATAACTAAAGCAAATTGTTGGTTTTAAGAACTAGCCACTTGTTGGCTCCTTAGTTTCTAGAAGCATGTTAGAAGCCTCTACACGTTTAGAACTTTGTTCTAATGCATACTTCACTGTTAGAAAAAATCTTCCTCGCGTGTCATCATTTGATTGAGTTCTTTCTATGTGTGCCCTTTTTTCTTCCAGGATTACTAATATCAGGGTGATGGTTGCAGGACAGTTTATTTCATCCTTCAAGTTCACTGCCAGGGAAAAACTGGCAACTGTTGTAAGCACTGACTTGTCTAAGACCAAACACATCTTACCTCTTATTCCATGGAATGACAGACTGTTAGAAATCAAGGATTTCAGATCACAAGATAGATGAGCAAGCCAAGATAGGAGATTAAGGAACTCATTCAGCTGTGGCACCTGGTGGCAGACCAGGACTAGTGTTTAGGAAGTGAAGTGATTTTTCTCCTGGTTTCCTTATTATTCCTGGAGGCAATTCTCCAAAATAACTGCTAAGTACTATAGAATAGTTTATGTCTTCAGAATCTTTTGTGCCTCCCTGCTTTTTTCCTCTAATTACCATCAGCTTTATTCTGACCTTTTTCATAGTTCACTACAGTAACCTGATTAAGATCTAATTATTAAGGTTCTCAACCTGGGCTGCACATTAAACATGCCTAGGCCTAAGCTAAACCCTAAGCCAATAGACTGAATGAAAATCTTTGGGAGTGGGATTCAGGCAATGGTATTTTAACTTCCTCCAAAGATTCCAATGTGCAGTCAGCACTGAGCACCACTGCTCAGAGCCACTCCACACACTGCTTAGGGCAGAGCTCGTTACCCTCTGCTCAGAAACCTCAGCAGCTTTCATTTCCACTTAGTTGAGTACTAGAATGCCTAATTCCTACTCTCATCCTAGGCCAGTGCTTCTCAAAATGTCAGCATGGACCAGCAGCATTAGTTAGCATCATTTGGAAACTTGTCTGAAACGCATATTCAGGCTCTACACTACTGAATTGGAAACTGAGGAAGAGCCACAACAGGCAGTACAGGTGATTCTGCTGCAGTCTGAAGTTTCAGAATCATCAGAGAAGTCAATGAGATTATTTTGGCTGTACTTCCCATGTGCACCTACATAGCTCCTGGGCATGGACATGGCCCACTTGTTCAGCTTCTTTAATGCTACAACTTACTGCTCCCCTACATCACAGAATTTGATCACCTTTGTTTTTTATTATTTCCTGTTGTTACAAACGAGTGTTAGAACACTTGATTCTTCAAGAACAATAAATACATTTTCTTTCTTTATGGTTAGTTCCCAGAAATGAATGCAATGATAATGAGACGGTTCAGTTTGCCAGGAGATGTGGACAGAGCTCGACAGTACGTATTACAGGTAAGATTATGTTTACAAGAAAAAAGGCAGCAGCATATACAATGTGGCACAGCCCTGCACCAAACAAATCATGTAACACTAATGAAAAGTTACATTTCAGATACAAGACCAAGTTTAAGTTTTGATTTAATAGAAACTGGGAAGGAAACACTTGTTGTTCAGTATTTTCATCTTTCTTCTATAATACTACTCGAATATTTTAATTGGTCACAAGTTCAGTGTGCACATTAAGTTTTTACAAGTTGCCCAAGTAATTCTACTGTGCAGTCATGGTTGAACCCTGATGGTTGAAAACTACTCTTCCCCACACCTGTCACACTGCTATGCTCCAAGGTATCCAGACTGGCTTCCAACCTAGTCCAAACCCTCATCCCTACAGCTAGACTACAGTAGTCCACTCACAAATGGCCCATGCTATCTAGTTGTTGGAGGGGTAACTAAAGAAATACTCATTTAAAAAAATTTTAATCGGGCCGAGGCTGTGGCTCAGGGATAGCACACTTGCCTAGCATGTATGAGGCACTGGATTCGATTCTCAGCACCATGTAAAATAAATAAAGGACTATCAACAACTAAAAAAAAAAAAAAAATTTTTTTTAATTTTAAAAATAAGTTTTAATCAACACAGGCAAACTTTAGACTTATGTTTTCTTTTAAAGAAAGAAACATTTAACTGTGTTCAGGGGCTAGAGGCTTGTTTAAAATATACTGCCATGTATCTTCGGCATTATTCTGTAGAAACCAGATCTTTTTGCATATTTTCAATTTGGGTGACTGTCTTTTGAGAATGAGCTTTTGCACATTCAATCATTTGGAGGCCACAGATCTAGTAAATGAGGTAGAGTAAGCATAACAATTACTAAAAAAAGTGGCCTGAAGTTCAGATTCTTAAATGTTCAAAAGCAGAAAACCCTTCCAAAAAGGATATATTTCTCTTTAACTAATGCATAATAATGTTATGTTCTACAATTTGCAAAGAGGGTGGTTTGGCAGTTATTTAAAAACTCAGTATAAGAGGGATCTATAACTGATAAAGAAACCTGAGAGAGGTTCTGGCTTCAGAAATAATTATAGTCACCCCCCTATGTCCCTGGGACACTAGATACAAGACACCCTGCCCCAACCTCAGATATGCAAAAGCCCCTTATTTTAAAAAAAGAAAAAAAGGCAGCTTTCAGATATAACTTACACATTCTTTCAGATACTTACTTAAATCATCTCTAGATGTAAATGATATGTGTATAGTTTTTATACTACAGAGACTGGGTCTCACTGACTTGCTTATTAAAGCACCTTACTTTTGCTGAGGCTGGCTTTGAACTCACAATCCTCCTGCCTCAACCTCCCAAGCTGCTGGGGTTACATGCGTATACCACCATGCCCCACTTGCTGTGCCTTTTTATACAGAAGCCTGCTTTTTCTTGCTGAAGCATTCCTAGCCAGAAATGCACTTAGACAAAACTCCACAGGAATGTTCTCTAAGCAAATTGCCCAAAGGCCTCAATTATAGTTCCCTCTACACTCAGAGAGCTTTTAGACCCATTCCTTCATTAAATATGAATAGACAACTCAGAATTACTGAGGAGTTGATTGAATCTTGCTACGCCAGAAAGACCAAGATTGAATAGAAATAAAGACTCAGGAAAAATATAAATAGGATGACCCAAAAAGTACTTCATTTATAAAACAAAAAAAAAGCAAAAAATATTTTTAAAATGAGTTAGAACAAGCTCTAAGAAATTTAAAATGATTTTGGAAAACTCCAAAGAAGGGGTGCAAAGTAATACTAAAGAAATCTAACAGTTATAGGAAAAATAAACATTTCACACCTACCTAGACTCAGTTAATTCATCTGTTAAATCTTAAGGCAAACTAAAGTAATCACACATAAGGATTCAAAAGTTGACTTCCCATTCACACTTTTCTGGGTAGGTCATTTGCATCTGGCAAGACTTCTGTACAAAAAGGCACAGCAAACTGAAATATGTCATATTTTGAGCAACTGGTAGAGAAAATCAGGCCTTTCAATCATGATGTTAGGAATACTTAAGTGGAAAAGGGATCGTTAACTAAGAAGACGGAAATTAAATAGTCATGACTTAATTTCACAGTAAATATTTTTGCATCATAGAAATAGTATTTTAATTGTGTCCGCTTTTAGAAAGCACCAACAGTAAAAAGACTACAGAATAGAATGTAAACCTCTGTCTGAAGTGCAATGATATAGTTAAGAGGAGAAGACAGGAACACTGGTATCCTCAAAGGTAACCAACAGAAGTAAACACAGCAATATAATGACCAAATTAAGAGACATTGTATGTGTGGGCCAAATGTCTGTCTTTGTTAACAGAAAGGCAACAAAATTGGTAACCAAGAAATGAGAATACTGACAGATTGATGTCTCACTCTGGAGGGTACCTGAATTCTCACTTGAATATATATTCCTTGCTTCATCCCAAAGGCATCTCTCGATATACCTCCATTCTCCTCATTTTTTAAAAAATTATTTCTTACTGGGGATTTAACCACTGAGCCACATCCCTAGCCATTTATTATATTTTCTTTAGAGACAAGGTCTCACTGGGTTGGCGAGATTTGCTAAATTGCTAAGGCTGGCTTTAAAGTTGCAATCCTCCTGCCTCAGCCCCCTAAAGCTACTGGGATTACAGGCTTTGTGCCACCATGCCCATCTCTCCTTAAATTTTTTTTCATTTAAAATTCTGTGTAGGTATCACATAGGTAAGACTTTTAAAAAACCTCTAATAATTAAGTAAAAAAATAGGAAGAAATAAATGGCTACTTGATATTAATGAGCCAGACACTTTGCTAATAGACTAAAAATGTGCTCCAGTCTGAGAAAAAAATCTAAAAGAAGTAAGCAGGGGAAGCTAGAATTATGAGTTGGAAAGAAAACATATGAGAAATTTAATTTGGTTATTAACTATGACTGATCCTTGGTTCATTTGACCTCAGAAGTATGCTTTAATTCATCATAGCAGAAACCTAAGACCTGATCCAGTCAATGACATCTGTTATCTTTTTGTTTTGTTCTGTATCTGTAGAGTGATGGTGTGCAACAAACAACCTACCTCGCCCAGCGATACTGCCATGAAGCAGTAAGAGAGATCAGTAAACTTCGACCATCCCCAGAAAGAGATGCCCTCATTCAACTTTCAGAAATTGTACTTACAAGAGATAAATGACAACTCTTTCTGTTCTATCTGGCAGCTATTTTACCAGACTGTGCCTAAAGAATTTTGTGGAATATACTTTGTTTGCTTCATATGCAAATAACCAAAAATCATTTTAAAATAATTCTGATCTTATTGATGGGTATTTTTTTTTTATTGGCAAAGTTTTCCAGAAATCTTTTTAAATGTAATTAATTTAACTGCCTGAATCTGTCATAGAGTCCTTTAAATTCTAACTGAGGTATCTTGATGATTATTCGTGGTATTGTTTACACTGTTAATATCCACATGTGAAGCCATTACACAAATAAATAATCAATGTTAAAATTCAAACGGTTTGTCCTATTTCACCATAGGAGTAGAGGTCAGAAATTTGTGAAGTCAGGTCTGAAATCCACATTATTTATATTTTAACAGTATCCAAAATTTCATATAGGAGAATGGTTTATTATAAAAGACTGTACATAAAATTTAGACAACAGGTTATATACAAATTAAGAGAACATTCCACTTGAAAAAAGAAAAGTAGAAGGTAGCTAGTTGGTCGTTGATGATACTTTGAAATTAACAAAGGCAAAATGCATATGAAACAGTCACATTGAATTGGTAGTAATAATGGTCTTTAATTTTCAGAAATAAAATGTTTTGCACTAGTCTCACCATTCACTATGCTGATAAATCTGTAACGCCCAGTACATAACTGTAATTTGAACTTCAAATAAATCCTCAATACACAGAAACCCACACTGAGTGCTCTACTTTAATATTCTAAGCAATACAGAATTATACACAAGATAAGAAAACATCCTTCTAACTTTCCCTTAAATTAAGAGGAGACACACAAAGTGCATGTGTTGCATTTCAATACAAATCTGTTGGTTAAGTATATCTCTGTTCACTGATTAATACATGACCCATCTTCTTTCCCAATTATTTTAAAATCTTATGTTTCTTTCTAGTGCCAGGTAATGGATTAAATAGTGCCTATTCACAAATTAATCGCATACACTTTTACAATATGTAAAAGATATTTATAATTTCCTTTCATTGAACCAGTGTACTAGAATAGTCCACTGTAAAACTGAAGGACTAATATGGCAATCTTTAAGACTTTTACCTATAGAAGGATGTGCACGCTTTGACACATTTTCTTAGATTCAAAAGTTACTTTAAAAAAGTAATTCAGTAGATTGACTTGTAAATAATTACCTCAGATTTTAAATCTGCAAACATCCGTCACATTACCATTGGGACAGACTGAGATAAGGCTAAAAATTTTTTTTTTTTCCAAGTTAATATGTTGAGAAAATAGAACCATAATTCTGCAATAAATTGGTTTTGTATTTTTTTTAAAAGCAAACCAGTGAAGGAAAGGACAAAAACCTTTGGTTCACTTATGTATTTATGAATGGAAAAAAATTTATAATGCAAATTCACTCATTAAAAAACTTAGGTACAAATTACAACATTACAGATAACCCCTTTTGTTTTGTTTCACATATAGACCTTAGAGACCCACCTAGAATGAGTATACTAGGTAGGTAAGTAATACACAAATTGGAAGCATCTTGGAATTTTTAAGTACATTTCAATACATAAATTTTATGCATGCTTTACACTTTTTAAAAATGAGAATCTAAACAAAAAGTATGACCAGCACCAGCATTTAAGTTTTCTGATTTTAATATTAGTTTGACATAGTATTATTAGTAACCATGCTGCACTGAAACATGTAATGGTACAATCTGAATCATCATTTGTTAAATATACCCCAATTCCCCAGAATATTTAAGCTGGTCATAAAATTAACAATGTGTAAGTAAGTACATAAGCATAATCAATTATAGACAGCCTCTTGTATAAACTGTTGTTTAGCAATACAAAAACTGCCTCAAAGATTTATGCTTACAGGTAGACATTCAAATATACCAATAAAACAGCATGTCCTGAAAATATGGGCACATTTTTAAAACATTAAGACAATTCTGTTAACCATAAGAGTCCCACAGTATGACTGAATAATAAGAACCTACTTTAAAAGAAAAAAAAAAAGGAAAAAGAAATAATTAATCAGCATAGTGCATGATTGATTCAACATAGTTCCCAGGAAAGAGACCAGTCACTCGATTGCAGACTCCTTCATACCAGCCATCATCATTCTTCTTTATAACATAAATGATTGCACCCTCCATAAATGACAGCTCATCATCCTTGTCTTTTGTATAATCATATATTGCAACAACTATGGAGAAAACAGATGCAATACTACATAAGTATACTGCACCCAACATTTAGCTTGAATTTTGATGCCAATTAAGTCTATAATGTAGCAAACAAACTATTTTTATAAAGATTTTAAATTGTGATATGTATCATTATAGATAGGTCAATGGTTAGTTACCCAAGTGCCTATATCAATGACTTCATCTTGAAGCCAAACTGACGATCTGATTAGATTAAAGAAGACAACAGGTTCTACCATCTCTATTACTCAGGAGGCTGAGCAGAAGGATCAAAAAAGTTGGAGGTCAGCCTCAGCAACTTGGTAAGACTGTCTCAAAAACTAAAAAAAAAAAAAAAAAAAAGCTGGGTCCATGGTGCACGCCTGAAATCACAGCCACTCAGGAGGCTGAGGCAGGAAGATCACAAGTTCAAAGCCAGGCTCAGCAGAAGCAGAGCGCTAAGCAACTCAAGGAGACCCTGTCTCTAAAAACTAAATTTTAAAAAAGTGGGGCGGGGCTTGGAATGTGGTTCAATGGTCGAGTGCCCCAGAGTTCAATCCCTGGTACACCACATAAATAAATAAACAAAGGAATGGGAATGTAGATCAAGTGGTAAAGCACCTCTGCATTAAGGCCCAGTGCTGGAGCCCCGCCCCCCCCCAAAAAAAAGGAAGAAAAATCTCTGAATTTTAGGATTAAGTATTTTAATTCACCCATTCAAGTATCTATCAAGTGCCTACACCACATGCAAAGATCCATTTTCAAAATAATTACTGGATAAAGCTGCAAAGCCACTCAGTAAACTAGGTAACAAACCAAGTTTTCTAAATTTAAAAATACTACATTATTATTGTCATTTATTGTTATTGAGAGGTTAAATCTCATCCTAGGATCCACAGTAAGTTACAGGACTATACCTATACGTTTTTATTAATTGGAGCATTCTAATAATGCATTATACCTACACTTACCTTAAAGATAAGAAGGACTATTTTATTTTTCTTTTTTTCTTGGTACCAGGGATTGAACCCTGTGCTTAACCAGTAAGTCACATCCCTAGCCCTTTTTTAAAATATTTTATTTTGAGACAGGGTCTCACTTGCTGAGCCTGGCTTTGAACTTGTGATCTATTGGCCTCAGCCTCCAGAGACACTGGAATTACAGGCATGCACTAGAAGGACTATTAAGGTGGCAAATGTAGTTTTTGAATAAATAAATAAATAAAACTTGTTTCAAAAAAATCTTACAATTTTGTGGTATCCGAAATTCAGTTTAAAACATTCTCTTCCACTCCCAACTATTCAAGTTCAAAAAAAATTTATTTTTGCAAACAGTGTTATACAAATGAATAGCAAACAAAAAATATTAGTTTTCCATACTACTGGTTTATGAATTTAAATATTACCTTCAGTCTACCTTTATTCTAAAATTATACATAATCTTCTAATATGAATAATATCTGATATGTATTTTTTTCATTGACTTACCTCATTTTTATTTGCTGTCATTTTTTTTCTTAAAGTAAGCATTTTTCATAAAGATATTTAAAATACTCTGGAATTCATTTTCCCCTAAGAAAGACTGCATCTCCCTATAATTATTCTGAATTAGTAACTTTTATGGAAGAGATCTGAAGTACTGTTCCATAGCCATCATTTGCTATGTTAAAATAGGCATTTTTAACTTTGCAAAACATTGTATTAAGTAGACTCAATAAGTTCATTTCTCTCCTTTTAATTCTGTAACAGAATCACAGCATTGTGATTTTGAGTTTAATGGCATACAAGTTTCAAAAATTTTAAAACAAAAATTTTAAAACAAAAATTTTACTTCACTGTGTTCTTAGATCCACTGAGGCAAAAAGATGATAAAGGTACTAAACCAAATTATATTTCTGTTTCCTAGGTGCCCTTTTTAAATAAAACCTAGTGCCACCCAGCCCTCCTCCCCAGTGCATACTCCCTCATATAATTTCTTTTCCTGCTAAAATATTTAACCATTAACAATTTGATTAGCCAGGTACAGTGGCCCAGGAGGCTGAGGCAGGAGGATTTTAAGTTCAAAGCCAGCCTCAACAACCTAGCAAGGCCCTAAGCAACTCTGTAGGACCCTGTCTTTAAATAAAATATTTAAAAAAGGGCTGAAGATGTGGCTCAGTGGTTAAATGCCCCTACAATCCCTGATGCCAAAAAACCAATTTGATGTCCATTCTGCTCTAGAATCTAATCCATATTAAAGGCCAAATTCTTCTCTGCATATGTACTATAGGGTTCTTTGGAACTCAAAGGTCTATTAGTCTAACATACACAATATATACATGTACATTGGTACATTTAATGAATAAAGGTACATGGGTACATTTTAGGCTGAAGTTAATAAGAATAGGGTTTTTGGAAAAGTTATAAAATTAACTGTTTTTCAAAATTTCAGGATTCCTTCATTTTTGTAATTACAAAGGTAACATGATGGGTTTAAGTATAACCCTACTAAATCTCAACTTTTGATTTAGACCAGGGGTCCACAAACATTTGCCTATGGACAAATTCAAGCTACTCCTCCCGCCCCCCCTAAATAAAGTTTTATCACAACAAAGGCAGATCGACTCACATATTGTCTATGCCTGCTTTTGTGCTGCCAAAAGGCTGAGTTTTAAGAATAGCACATTAAAATATTTACTATTTGGCCTTGCTTTAAGAAAAAAAAAGTAACCCCTGGCTTAAGACTCATTATTTCAATGTGTGAAGAAATTCTTTAATCCTGCTCTAATATCAAATATATTAATCAATATATTATCCCAAATTTGTCAGTTTATGTAAATATAACAGTCCCATATACATAAAGTTAAATTTACTTAACAAAGTAAGAAAATATGACTAAAAACATCATCCAAACCTAAAGTTTAAAAACTTATCTCTATTTGAAGGAAATGGACCTCCAAATACAAAGAACATTGAAGATTTCCTTAAAATATGTAAACTATTTATTGTTTAAATATACTAAAAAAAATATTTTGCTTTTGCCATAGGTTTTAAACACTGGCAAGCAAGAATGTCACTGGTCTCAGAGCTACCTAAAGTTATTTGCTTTAAATCAGTTAATAAAGTAAATGGAAGGCAATATATTTCAAAGACAACCAAAATTGATCAACTAAATTATAAGCATTTTTAAAACTCTGAAAAAACAAACTCTAGAAACCTGACTTTTTTCTTTCCCATCCACATTTCTTTAATAAATAATCACAATGAATATCAGGCACAGTAGGTTAATCTGGACTTTAGAAGTTCATGAAAACAATCCTAGTGATTTATCTTCTACACGAAATCACATAAAGGAATCTTAAGTTAGGCTTTTTCTCATGATAGTGCCAATAAATTTTTAAATATTCAGATGTGAAATCTATTTTAATTAAGAGCTTGTAAAACTTTTTAAATTTTTACCAATTATATATGATTTTAGTTAGTCAATTAGCTCCTTTTTGTGCCTTATTTGTTTTATCTATAAAATGTAGACAGGCTAGTTCAT